ATGATGTGTCCTAACCAACTGTGAATTGCAGATCAGGCTGCTTCTGCCTTCAGATCAGTAATATGACAAGAAATAAACAACTTCATTTGGGAGTTTTTTTGCTTTGTTTTAGGCAGCTGAAATACACCTGACCTTGTTTCAGATTTTCATGTATATTTTTGAGATGTTAGAAATTTTCTTTGGTATTTTTTTGGATTTCTTTTTATGTGTAGCCCATGTGAAATAGATAGTTAGAATATTTATGAAGGTAGTGATTTAAAAAATAAATTATTAATACTATGGTGTCCAGAAAATTACATGACTTGCACAGACACACATTGGCTTTTAGTGCACTGAGCTGTAATTTATTTCTGTAGAAGTAGGTTAATTTTTTTCCTTTTGCTTCCATGACATGATGGTTTCTTTGTGAATCCTAGTAGACTGATGCAGATACAACTATCAAAGCGATTTTTATTTCTTGAGTTTGCTATGAATTTCAGTGACAAACTGAAAAAAAAAAAAGAAGAAACAAATTTAGGACTGCATTTTCTACTTTTATATACTTAGAAAATAAGTAAAATGAGATCCAGAAATGGAAAAAGGATCTGAATTTGTTCCTCTGTGCTGATAAATAAGAAATATTCTAACAGAAGCAGTGAATTAAAGCATGCATCACCAAAGAAAACTTCATTTCATTGCAGCTGGTTTTAATATTGTCTTTGAGCTATATTATTTTCTTTTCCTCTCTTTTTTTTTTAAATTTTTTTATTGTTTAAACTTCATGCTCTGTCTTCTGTTTCTAGTTTATCTATGGTGGCAGTAATCCTTTTGGTCATAAAATTACATTTCAAGAATTTATGCTAGAAACTGCAAGAAAGGTATCAACCAGCTGACCAATCTATATCCCAGAGAGGAAAGAGTGTAAGGAGAGAATGTAGCATCCTTTTCTGCTTTCAGCTGTGAACTCTGGCCAGCACTATTTCTTCTCTGTGCAATAAACAGAGAAAGGAAGGGATGAATGGAGGGGAGTGAGAATATCTGTTCACTTCAGTTGCTTCCTGGTCAGCATCCTTGCTTGGGGAAGCTGGTGGAGTTATAAATGGGGCAGATCATCTGCTTCCTGTAAAAGTGTGATCTGTTTTAACAAACTCACCTTCTCTTCAGAATCCGTGAAGTGTTTTACAGCACTTCCTGCCATCCCACCCCCACCTTCATCCTTGCAGTGTAGGTAGTCATTCAGTTGGCATGAGCCAAGTTTCCTAGAGGGCTACAAAAGATACAGCTGTTACCACTGTGGTTTAATGTCTGTAGGCTGAATGGCAATTGCAATACCCAAGATTGTTCTTTCTAGTTCAGACACGGTAATCCTTTATTTGAGCATCACTCCAAAATTCCTTCTCTTGAGTCTACTCTTGCTGCAGTATTGGTGTGCTCTGCAATATTGTTATTCTTCTTTCTTCATTCAAAATGAAACATAGATTTAATGTTACCTTGCAATACAAAAAAGGTGAGAGAAGGAGAATCCTATCCTGCTACAGTTGTTACAGAGCATGCAAAAGGTGATAGGGTCAAAAATATGTAGTGTGCTCATGCTATAGTAGTAAGAATAAATTAAAGTTTACTTGAAGACAGGAAAGCAAGAAAACATACAGTTGAAGTTGGAAATTCTAAATTTTCAATTTGATATATTTCTTCCCGATATAACTTCTGAGAGAAATGCTGTCTGTTGCTAGTTTCCATTTGCTTTTTGGCACACTGTTGGCTGTTAGGCCAGAGCTGTGTGAGATCATGTGAGGTCTTCATACCAGGACAGGGGGGAATCAGGAAAAAGCCACTTTGAGAAAACCTGGTTTCCTGATTGCTTGACTGTAGTGAAGGTAACACCTGAGGCTTTACAATCTGCAGTAGACTTATGGCAGAGCCTCCAGTGTTTTGTCCCTCCCAATCACTTGTTTTTATTGTGAGCTACAAAACTGGAGGATCTGACAGAGCTTTGAGATAGACTGAGAGACCATATTCTGTGTTTCTCAAGGGATAGTTAATATTTATAACAACATGGAACTCTTGGAAAAAAGAAATGTATCAAGCTAATGTGGTAGAGAAGGTAGGTGTTTAGGAATACTATTACTTACACTCTTGGTCAGTACCCTTGTTTAGTTAACTGATCCACTTCACAGTTAATTCAGACTACTGGGAGTATAAAGAAATATACAGGCTCAGCAGAGATGTGTGCTTTCTTTTGTAGGGTTCTCTTGTCTGTTCCTCTTCTTTCCCTCTCCTCTCCCTGCCCCAAAAAGCACTGAAATTACAAAGCTTATCGGAAATTGAGCTCATGAAAGAAATCCCTCCTGCTGCGTGCATCAAATAAAGGCATTAAGTGAACATGGACAGATCTCTTCAGACAGGGGCTGTAACAAGTTTCCCTTGCTTCTGCAGTGTAAAGCCAAGTTCTCTTTGTAACTATGATTATGAAAACCTGGGCACTTGGAGATGCAAAACCTTTCTTGTTTCACACTGAGCAAGTTTGTACCACCCACTGCTATTCTGTCTAAATTAATTCTGTTAAGATGTGTGACGTGGTATCTTCAGTTTCTTTTATTGTTAGAATAATATTATAGGGATGTGTTTACAGGGTGACTTATTTTGCTTACTTCTAAGGAATTTTCTGGATATGTCTCATTTTCAATTGTATAATCAAATTGTGATATTAATTTTGAGAGTGGCATATAATGTTTCTTTTAATTAGTTTGTACATGTATTTCATGCATTTCTGCATATTTTGAAAAGTAAAACAAGTGCAGGAAATATAGTGGCTTCCCTATAATTTCTTTGAAGATTTGTATATCAAGTCTTATAAAATTCTTTTAGCTACTTTCTGAGAAAAAATTGGTTCTTTATTAGAGATGTATGAAAAAAAAATCACCATCTCTGTTAATAATGAAACCTCCCTTATGAATTTGTTAAGCAGTGTGGATTGATACTTTCTGATCAGCAGAAGTTTCAGTTTTTCTCAGGGAAAGCTGAGCTTGGTTTTCTAGATATTGTTCATTTTTTATTTTGATAATGAAGTTTTACATTATGTTAATAAGATACCATTCCATTTGAAAAAAAAGGCATTTCTGTGTAAGATACAAATGTAATAGCAAAATGTAATTTAATTAGTAGCAGCTTGAAAGCTTGTATACTAATATATGGCTTTAAATAACAAATTCTTTAATCTCAACAGTGAAATGGAAACCTGCCTTTCAGAAGCCAGTTACTTCTGAGATAAATAGTACTTACATGTTTCATACTCTATCACAACCAGCTTTATTAGTAGTATTGAAACTTGAAGGGTTTTTTAAAAAGTGGTAGAAATGGCTGCGTAACTATAATATTTAAGCTTGAAATGTATTCAGAAGTCTCTAGTGTAGCAGTAAAGGTACTAAATTTTAATTTAATTCCCCATTGGGGAATGCTTTGATTTTAGATAATGGAGTGTAAAATAATGAATAAAAATTTCACACACACCATGCAGCTACTTTGGGCTCAGGATGCTTAATGTGAATTTGCCTGTAGATAGTTCTAGGCTTCTTAGTAAGATACTGTCAAGATAGTATTTCCTTTGGCTCAGTATTGCTCACCTCTTTGGCCAGAATGGCTTCTCTTGTATATTTAGGTCTCTATTAGCTTCCTTTTTTTTCTTTTTTTCATACTAGGGAATGGTTTAGTTTAACTCTTTGACTGCCGATGGATGTGCTTTGGAAACCTTGTGGCCAAGTGTTGCTGCTGCCTTGTGATCTAAACTAGTTCTCAATTGGCTTCAAGTGCAGTTTAAAGGGGCTGTGCAAGTTAATTGCATCAAGCCTGAGCTAGATAACCTTCTTGGCTCTTCTTGGGCAACAGTGGGAGCAGTTGAGTTCAGCAAGAGTCCTCAACCTAAGAGCCTCCTGCCTCTAATAGCATGCAGTGAAGATAATCATAATGGAGAAGGTTCCCGTGTTAACAATATATAAATGTGATTGTAACTAACCTGCTAAACTTGAGGCCAGAAAAACAGATCATCAATTTAAAATTAATTGTTTTCAGAAGATTTTAAGTAAATACCAGTGATGAATAATGAAATCTAATCATTATACATTTTTGTTGGTCCCTTGTATGCTTATTTTTGTTGGCTCACTTCAATATATTGGAAAAAAATAGTTATACTACATTTTTAAAGCAATGTAGCACAATACAGTGCCACACAGATAACAACATTTGTTTATTCTAGTTAATATTTTTTTCAATAAATACCAGTAAGTGGAAAGGTTATTATTGCATATCCTGTAGTTAGAATATTATGATTTGTCTTCAATTTCACTGAAGGAAAGTAAACAGAAATGATGAGAGTGTAAGAGTTGTACATGATTTTATGATGATTGGTATGAACTTCTTATTAAGAACCCAATCTTACCTTAGTTAAAAATATATGCTCTCCAACATTATTAGTAACTTCAACAATATCACTAATTTATAATTTACCAATTTTTATACTCACCATCATGTTCACTCTCCTTTTGTCATATTCCTTGGTACTCTTGCTCTTTCACTTCCAATTTATTTTAAGTTGGTGTCAGCAAACAGTAGAGGGGTTGTATCTTCCAGTTTTACTAGAGAAGGTGGGCGCTCTTCTGAAAATTCATTTTCTGTATCTGCCAAAGAGCTCAGTAGAAAGACAATTAAAATTACTTCTGAAATAATATTGGCCAATAACTTGCCCAATAATTAGAAGTAGTTTATAATAAAAAACAAATGCCTTTCGGTGAGCACACAAAATTTTATAAAGGAGAAGGAAACCGTACATCGTTTTATCTTCAGAGCACTAAGTTTTGGCTCACTGGTCTTACTTGTGAACTCAAAATTTGAGAAGTATTTCTTTAACCCTAGTAAGTTTAATAATATATAGGAGTTTATGAATTACTACAAATTACTGCAAATGATCAGTCAGTAAAAGTAGTGATGCTACATAACAAAACTATTTTTATTGTTGCTTCTTTTAGTGTCAGTTGTGATAATGACAACTGAAGTTGGTTCAGAGACCGAAGTAAAGAAGGATTCTGAGCAGTTGGGAGCAGACAAAGCCAAGGACAAGCCTGAAGAAGCATCAGAGACTCCAGGAGATCAAAAGTCCAGGGAAACATCCTCTGGAGAAGCTCAAGATTCTTCTGTCCCAGCACCAACTAGCCAAAGCAGTCCAAGTAGCCAGAAGAAGGAAAAAGCTTCACCTGAAAGCAAGGGTATTTCTCGTTTCCTTCCCCCTTGGCTTAAGAAACAGAAGTCATACACCTTGGCAGAGCCCAAAGATGAGCCCAAGAAAAAGACCACAGGGGAAGAGCAAGTAGTTGAAGAAAGTGAAAGCCAGGCACTAGAGGGGGTGGCTCAGCCAAGAAAGAGCTTGGAAGAAGCAGCTGAAAACCGGCAGAATGCTAAAGCAGATGACAAAGAAAAGCGCTCCATCAGTAGTGCTGAAATACAGGTACGTGTGGGGGAGGCTCATAGATACTTTGGAGTAATTTTAATGAAACATGATTAATGGATTATGTAATCCATGTAATGCTTTGTTAGGCTCATATTGGGGAAAAAATGACAGAAAAAATTCCAGTTGCTAGGTTCCAGTCCTGCTTTTTGTGAAGTTGCACGTCAGTTCTGAACATTCAAACTTTATATTCTAGAATGGTGGAGGCACATTGAGAGTGTTTTGTGTCAGGAGCAGCTGAGACAGTTGACTCTGGTCAGCCTGGGGAAGAGAAGGAGCAAGGGGAATCTAATCAGTGTGTATTAATACCTGAATGGAAGGAGTGTAGAGAAGCCAGACCCTTCTCAGTGGAATGCAGTTAGATGACAAAAGGCAAGGAACCCAAATTAAACCCATGAAATTACATTTCAAATAGCAAGAAAATCTTTTTTACTCTGATGGTGATAGGACCTTTCCTTGGCAAGGAACGTAGCCAGGTGCTGGTGGTGCAGATGATAGGCCTCCCAGGGTGGCAAAGGAGTGAGTAGACATTCAAAAAGGTTGACCAGAGATACTGTGGAGTCTTCCCCTATGAAAATATCCAAAACGCAACTGGATATGGTCCTGGACAAATTGCTCTGTGTGGCCCTAGGGGCACTTGGGACTAGATCTCAAGAGATCCCTTTCAACCTCAACCATTCTGTGATTCTGTATCACTTGGCTCTCATAAACACTAGCATATAGTTTAGTATAATTCCTGGATCTTCTTAATAAACTTGTTTCTCTTTGGAAGAAAGCCAATAACTTCATATTAAAAAAAAAAAATCAATCGTCATTTCAAGGAAAGGGAAAAAAAGGTGCCTTCTCTGGTTTGAGAGCAAGAATATCTGATCCCTAAAGGAAGACCTTAATGGTTTATTCTGGTTATTGTGTTTCCAGCGTGTGTATAACTATAATGAATGGTTACTCTCTTATTTGTAGCTTATAAAAGGAACGAACTGGTTAAAAATATCCTCCATCCTGAGTTTAACTGTCTTTTTTATAGCCTTCCAAAGAAGATGGTAAAGAAACAGAAGTAGAGGAAGGTGGAGAGAAAAAGGAAGAAAAAGAAGAAAAAAGGGAGACAAAAGAAGTGCAGACAGCTGAAATTAAAATAGATAACATTCCTCAGAAGTCTCCAAAGAAAATCAAAACTGTGCAGTGTAAGGTGATGCTTCTGGATGGCACGGAATACAGCTGTGACCTGGAGGTAAGGTATCAAGTCATTATATAAAGAGCTTTTTCTGTAGGGAAAACTTGTTTTCATTGTACTGAGTGTTTAACACTATTGCTAGAAGTCAGTTAACATTTCAGTTTAAAATTTCAGTTTAAAATTCCATCTTTAAAACCATATCAGTTTATTCTTAAAAATGCCCTCTGTGGTACACTAGCTGATTATTTGACAGCTCAAACTTGATTGTTTTTCTAAAACATTAAGGTTTTCCTGAAGGTAGTGTGACATGTGCTGATGAAGTTTACTTGAGTGCATTAATGTCTTTTTAATTACCACAGCTGGAGATAAATTTAAACCTTTTCAACTTTAAAATTTAAAAAGAAAATTTCTTGATAAAGAAAAACTTAGTTACAGGTATAAAACACGTATTTGTATTTCAAGTTCTGATCTATTTCCACATTTTCACAAAAATTGACTGCAGGATAGTAACTCTGGTGTAGTAGTTGGTTTGGGATTTTTTTCTGACATAAATCAGGATGTTTAAATCTGGATGGTATCTTTATTTTAATTCAAGGCTATGTGAGCTTTATCTTCTTGGGCTTTTTCCCCATCCTAAAATGAGACTTAAATGAACTGGTGGCTTACCACAGATCTAAGAATATACCGTTTTGTGTTTATAATTACAGTATTTTAAGTCTGTCAAGATTCAGTTAAGTCATTTGGCAAGAAAAAAGTTTTCTCATTATTTACAGTGAGTTTCTTGTAGGAACAATAGTAAAATTAATTTAAGAGGGGAAAAAAGTGGTGAAGAAACAATTTGGTTTATATATTCATTTGAATTATTTGTAGGACATGAGGAGTGCTGAGTGCAATTTTATGGATGAATTCATGTTCTTAAGTACATATAGAGTTTTTTATGCTTTACTATCATATCGAAATATGTTAAGTCTCAGAAAGCTATATCAACTGATAACTTAAATTTCAGTTTGTGCTTTCTGCAAAAGCTCCTAGTAGATTTCTGATACTCTTTTTTAGTCTTCCTTCAATAGTGTTTGGGTAAATGTTGGTTTATTTCTGCTTTTACAAAGTTACTGAAATGATTCAAGAATTAAAAAGCAAAGAAACAAAATTTTTGCAGTCAAATCCCAGTCTACCTTCGTTGATTTTCTAGTAAATATGGTTTTCATTTGGGCCAATTTTCATTACTTTCTCATTCCTGATGCCTTTTCCAGTTTACTATGGACTGTAGATCTTCTTCTTTATATTTAAAATATATATACTTGCTAATGGCAAAGTAAAACTGAAAAATACCTTGTTTTCATTACTGCTATTTGATGACTTTTCATAGAATCCTGTCTTTTTCTAATAGCCATTCTATACCTTCATGATAATCAGTAATAAAATCTGACCTAATACACTATTGGGGACTTCGCTATTTGACTTGCAATCCTATTTCTTTTTTCTTGTAGAACTGCATCAATTTATATTCACATAAATTAAAGGGAGTGTGAAAAAAACCAAAATACAAAAACAAAACCGCATTAATTTAGTCCCTGTTAAATTTTTTTCAGTTGTCTCTGCTGTGTCTTTATGTAAGACAATACTTGGGAACAGGCATAAAAGGCAAGAAAGCCATGATGCAGTCGCTTCAGTGTCAGCACACAGATCAAGGCTGATCAGGATTCTCAGTAACTAAATACTGAGAGTTTTGTGGCCATTTAGTAGATTTAATTAGTAAACAGTGATGGATCATAATATGAGGACTTAATACTTGAGTTCAGCTATTACATACCTTAGATTCACTAGATTCTAAATAGGAAATCTTGAACTAATGTTAATGCTTTGTTTCCTAAAAGAAAAAGTGTTGATGCATTATTCTTGAACATAAGCTGTTTCAGTCAGAAAAACGTTACTCTTGCAGCTTGAGTATGTTCTGATCAGTAAATGGTTAATAACAAAAGATTCAAGATGTGATTTGGAAACTAATGGAAAAAGGGAAGGTCATGGTTACATGTGGGAGCATTTGAGATAGAGAGACAAGTCCCATGGGACATTATAGAGTGCACCCACCACCAGTGAGTGAGCTGGCTGGTGTTGCTTCAAGGCCAAACTTGACCAATGGGCAATGTCCCAGCAGGACCCTACCTGGGATATTTGGGGGTGGGGGGTGGCAAAAGGCAAATTTTATTCCTATTTTCAAGAAGCATTTTTTTAATGCCATCTTAGATCCTTAAAATTCCTAGTTTTGTGTGTGGCCCTTTTAGCAATATGGTTAGATCTCACTTATTTTTGCTTGTAGGAAAAAACAGTGCCATAAAATCTCACCTGTTCATCATGGTTGTTCAAGTGTCTGGTTTTTTCTAGTTTTTTGGTGGGGTTTTTTTTTTGGCTTTTTTATTTTTTGAAGTAAGGTAAAATCCCTAAATAATTGAGAACTCTTAGGCTTGTTCTGCACTTGTACAAGCCTGCACTTTAAGACTTCATATTGTCTAGAAGGGCACATGAGTTCAGGTATAATATCCCTAGCATTTCCAATCAACAGCTTCCAAAATAGCAGCTCTTTTGTTACTGCTCATTGAATTTCATGATATATGCCAGTCATTTAGTCTGAGAGCTCTCTCTTCATTTCCTTCTCTTTTCCCTTACTTTAAAAAGCAGTCTAAGTATAGATTCAGGTGCTAGATGAGAAGTTCTGACTGTCCATCCTGTTTGTAATTTTTCCTGAGAGAACAGAAAATCCACTCACAATAGTCTGTGTGCTTAGGAAGAAATGCCATTTCAGTAGATCAGAAACTGCTCTCTAAACTCCTGTCCACGTGATAGTTAGATTTCTATCTTGCTTATGTTCCCTTTTGCTTTGTGAGATTAATTCAGTTGTAGACATATTTGTGGTTATGTTTCTTCAGCTTCAGTGATTTAAAACATTTCAACATACTTAATTTTTTATGACGTAATTTTGAATATGGGAAAAAGGAAATATTGTTTCATATAATGTCTTGTACAAAATTCAGTTTTTACACATACACAACCATCTCCTCACCCTCTTTGTTTCTCCCCAACACTGAAGCTGATTTTCATACTTATTTTGCAAAGTAACATTTGGTGCAAATTAAGTTAGAATAATTTCTCAAAGATGACTGAAATAGATTTTTCTTTTTCAAGCTTAAAAAGATTGATATTTCAATTCAGTAAAGTGTTTGTGAGCTTTTATAGAGCATATAAAACAATAGTATTAGAAAAGAGGCTACAGTTTGTGGTTAAGGTTGGTGTTTAATGACAGTTCATCTGGAATTATTTCTTTTACAAATGCATCATCTCTGAGACTTGCATTACGCAGCAAAAGCTCTGTAGAGGTTGTTCTGGACCAGGCTCTCCATGCTTCACTAAACATTTTTAGAAATTTAATATTTGCCAAGTGAGAAGTGAATATCCGAACTTGCTATAAATTGAGTTCACTATATTCTGAAACATTTAAATTCTATAGTATGAAGCTGACATAGGCAGAGGGATTAGTTGAAGTGAATTAGTGAAGTCCTGTAATTCTAGTGTGGCTGAAGTGAATTTGTGTCTGTTGACATACTGGTTTTTTTTCTGTCCTGGCTACCACAGATTGGTTTTTATAATCATAATTTTTATATTCTCAAGGATCTCCTTGTCTTGGTAAGGCAAGATCCCCTGTAAGCAAGAGGTTAATGCTACATTATTGTCAGCTTAAAAGGGCCTTCATGGAAGTAGGTTTTGCAGAAGAAAATTGTATATCATGTCACTTTTTTTTTTTTTTACTCTAGATTCTTCAGATGGGAGTTTTTGGAGCAAGTATATGTAATAAATGGAATACATATAGGATATACATATATGGACTATTTAAGAAAAAATTATAAACCAGCAAAAATTTAATTATAGCACAAAAAATTTTCATGTGTGTGCATTTTGTTCTAACTGGAACTAGATCAGTTTATTTTGGATGGATTAGGTACATGGGCAAACTTAGCATCTATTATGTTAATGAAAAAGGGATTTATTACAATTTGAAGTCTAGTTAACATGAAGTTGATATAACTGCTGCTTAATGAGGCATTTTCTTGGAATGTATATTGAGTTAAAGCACCATTTGGAAAATATGTGACATGCGGGTTGCATTGAGAAATACATCAGAGTGAACAAAAACTGGTTTCTGTGACAAAATGATCTGAAAGTGGATTCCTGTGTGAGTGGTATAGAATAGAAATGTATGGGAGATGCTCACTTGGGAAAAATACAGCTTTAAGTTGTTGAGATAGTTTAGTTATGTATGAAATGGTGGGGAAAAAAGAAAATCCTGGTGAATTAGCATGTTTTTAATGGGCTATTAAAACATCTTTGTAAATTACTGTAATTTGGTGCTGTTCTTCCATAATTCAGAATTTGTAATCAAATGTTGCTGTAGGAGTACCAGGTACATTTGAACCTGGCTTGTTTCTTTGCCAGTTGGGTTTTGTGTATTGATAATTACTTTAAGTTCTTTTTTTCAGCCACCTAGTGTTCTTTGACAGTGGAGTTACTTCTTGTCTTGTTTTTGCATGTCTTTCCCATTGCCCCAGGCATGCCTGACATGGTTGATCTTTAGATTTCAACGTGAAGCCAATCTCAGATGTCTTTCTTTTTTGATGTTACTTTGTAAATTAATTTATCACCTCTGAGAGCCATCTATTCTCTTCACTGAGAACTCTTCATTTTTGAACCTTAGTAACGAGTTCACTGGTGTGAACTTGCCAGTTTGAACTTTAAGTCAATAATTCTTTATCTGTGTAACTGTTTGAACAGATATTTCAGTTTCTTTTGTGATTATTTTCTTTTTACTTCTCATCTGTCTTTGTACTTTCATTACCTTTGAAGATGCAAATTTAAAGAACCTGATTTGTAATCTTTCTGGAGTATAGCTTCTCCAAATATCCCTGTCTGAATGTCACTGTGGATACAACACCTAAGGTACTCCACTGTTGCCTAGAGAAGTCCATGACATGAGAGCATTATTAAGCTAAACTTTGTGCTGGGTG